AATTTACTCCGACAGTTGATGCTTTGCTCATGTCGCATGTTTAATTTTGCGTTGCTGTGTTCAGTATGTTTGTTCATTTTTTCCTTGCCTTACGTCATTACGTAAAGTCAGCCAGGATGGGCTATTTGCAGAGTTACTAAGTAAATTATTAAGTAAAGTCAGCCAGGATGTGCTATTTGCAGAGTTACTAAGTAAATTATTAAGTAAAGTCAGCCAGGATGTGCTATTTGCAGAGTTACTAAGTAAATTATTAAGTCAGCCAGGATGTGCTATTTGCAGAGTTACTAATTACTAGTCTTTTGCTGGGCTACCTTTATGCTTCTCCCCTTCCTGTCTAGGTATGTTTAGGTATGGCTAGCGGTGCGCGAGCCGCGGCTTATCGGTTCCTCCTACGTCTGCGTGTCTGTTAATTTTGTTATTGTTGGACTCGCAATTTGATTTGTATTTATTACGGAAAAATTTTCCTCCCGCAATTTACTCTTTGTTTAAGTTTCACGTTCAATTTGTTATTAAGGGACTATCAATTAGGATTTGGATTAATCTATTGCTTTGCCTCTGTGCCTTTAAGTTATTTTCAGCTAAGGTACGCTAGTTGCAGTGCATTCGGGTGGCCCCCCCCCCACAATTTTTTTTTTCTCCTCCGGTTATTTCGTCCTATTACACTCGTTTCCCTCATTATATATTCTATTCTGAATTTGTGCATTATATCTGACCACCCATTCTTCATCGTATCGACAGTACATTAAGTTACATTTGGACGCTACCGAGAAGTTTAGCTGGCCTCGCGCACGGTGTCATGCAAAAAACTGGCCATTCGGCCTTCCTTTCGGCAAGCTCACGCCAGTCAGTTAGCATGACGTCGGCCAGCTTGTGGTTGGCCAGCGCAGCCAGCATGCTGTTGGCCATACGGTCGCTAACGTTCTTTGGCCATCCGGCCTTCTGGGCTATTTTACTCTTCTTGTTCCTTCGCCTTTGTTGTTTCCTACTACGTAATAGTATTCTATTTAATTTTACCTCATCTATCATTAGGTTAGGGGCCCCTTACCTCCAACCGCTATTCCTTCCACTGCGCTCTGCCCGCTTGGCGCTCAATGCCGGTTTCTTCTGTTCCCTTTATTCGCAGCCACGACAAGCCGGAACCCCCCCCCCCTTCACACCCTACTGCGGCGAGGAAGAGAACGCGAGCCGGATATTCCTCTGATCACCATCAACGCACGCAGCGGTGCCGGGATGCAGCCGCCCAGGGCCTACGTTAATACTATTATCTTCTCTTTATTTGCTGGGCTATATGGCAGTATTAATATTACTCCGTACCGTTACTGTCATTCCAGTATTATTTTATTAAAATATAAATTGTTATTATGGTTTGGCGTTGCTTTCTTAATTTCTTCCATTCTGCGGCACTTGCCGTCATCTGTTATTTACGATATTACATTGTATTCTTCATTGTACGATTATTTACGACATTGTATTCTTATTATTATCCTTATTACAGTTACTGAATGGCAGCTCCCTGCCGTCGATTTCACTTTGCTCCTGTTCTAAAGATGTTGCCGAAGTTCACGGCGTACTAGCTGCGGCTCGCAGATGCTCATTGACAACACAAGACTACACTCAGCGGCCACTCAAGGCAGACTCCTTGGCTTCTATCCAGCCCAATCACCCGTCTGGAGGCAGAGATGGGATAGAGACCAAGGGTAATGTTCCCCGCTCACATTCTACATCCGATTAGGACACAAGCATGTTATAGATTTGGCTTTAAGAATTGGTTCTTATTCCATTTTATTGATTATGTATATGTTGCTTAGTTGTTATACCCTTTCTTGGTATATGTATTGTTTATATTCAAGATTTATAGTGTTTCGTCTTACCCTGTTATAGTTGCTTTGTGCCTCCTTGCTGTTCTACCGGTTTTCTCCCACCTTTGCTCTTAGCAAAGGTACTTCCCCCTTCCGTTTGCTGGAAGATTCTTAGATTTGTTAGCCCCCCTTCATTGCTACAGTATAATTATTCGGATGCTCTTTATTCATCCAGGATTGTTAATTAAGGTTTCTCTTAATTCCTGCTGCCGGGCTCCCTCCCCCGTTTTTCGTCTCCGTATTGATTCAGCTAGGGTTTCCCTCTCGTCTGTGCTCTTGCCTGTCACGTTAACACTGCACGCCGCTTCTGCCCACCCTTACTGCCTTATATCTTTCAGCCCGGGGGAGGTGAGCTACGCGACAAAAAATCGACGCACACTCCGACTGGACCAGGTATCGCTTACATGGTCAGGAATCAACACTCTTCGGATCCTACAAGCACAGATCCTACAAGCGCTCCTGTCACCAGGCGAGATTTCTCCAGGATCCTACGCGCTGCCCTCTCGGCGCTAGGCTTGACTTCAGATGACTACGCCCCGCACCCAGCTGTCTCGGGACGGGCTCGCCACATCAGAAATAATGGCAAACGGCAGGCGGAAGAGTAGTGCCCACATCCTACGTCAGACGGGACGTTGTTGCTCTGCTACATTGAGTGCCTCACGCGGCCAGCTGGCACTCGCCCTTCGGGGGGGGGTCCGGCCGCTGGCCTGCGGTGGGGGTGCAGCGCCGGTCCCCAAGTGTCCCGCTGTCCGCAGCTAATACTTTGCCCAGTCTAGGTGCTAGTAAGCCCTACTTGTAGTCACACCCCCTTCTCCTTATCCATTAGGTCTTTTACGGCCTCTTGGCCGGGTACATTACGTGTTATGTGGTCTCTCACTTATTAGTTATTCTTTGTGTCCTGCCTGTTATATCCTAGTGTTATATAATTACTACACATTTGCACTCGGCCTTAATTCTAGTACCAGTTAACCTTTAGGTTTCTGCAGAATTAGTTTCCATGTCACTATAGGCTAAGGTCTCATACTTACTACGGGTGTACCTTTTAAGTTAAATCTAGTCCTCGGACTTGGAATTGTTACTGTTAATTCTTACTTTATATATTTACTTTATATATTTTAATATAAACGTTATATAGTCCTTAAATTATATATTTTGAAACTTTATATATTTACATGTTCAATATTAAGTTTAATAATATCAACTTTGTTATAAGCCTATAATATAAACCGTGTTTAATATAAACTTTATATAATTACTTACTTTATATTTGAACTTTATACATTTACATGTTCTGCAGAATTTAATCTTCAATAAACTTTAACGCCCCATACTGCCAGTATCTTTCTCCCCCTGGTCAGAAAATGGTCACTGCTTGATCGCAAGCGGGGATTTTTCTGGCGGGGGAGAAAGAAACAATTGCGCAGCGCGTCCCGCGGCGTTGCGCGGGCAGTTTGGGGCCTGTATAAATACGGGCGCACACTGGGGCTCTGCCTCACTCCGCCTGCCCTCGCCGCTGCCCTCGCAAAACCCCACCCTCCCCCCCTTTGCAAGCGGCTGCTTTTGTACCCCCGTCATGCTTTGCACAGTTGTCCCGATTGTCTCCCCACTGCATGTAGGAAGGGGGGTGCAGCGCCGGTCCCCAAGTGTCCCGCTGTCCGCAGCTAATACTTTGCCCAGTCTAGGTGCTAGTAAGCCCTACTTGTAGTCACACCCCCTTCTCCTTATCCATTAGGTCTTTTACGGCCTCTTGGCCGGGTACATTACGTGTTATGTGGTCTCTCACTTATTAGTTATTCTTTGTGTCCTGCCTGTTATATCCTAGTGTTATATAATTACTACACATTTGCACTCGGCCTTAATTCTAGTACCAGTTAACCTTTAGGTTTCTGCAGAATTAGTTTCCATGTCACTATAGGCTAAGGTCTCATACTTACTACGGGTGTACCTTTTAAGTTAAATCTAGTCCTCGGACTTGGAATTGTTACTGTTAATTCTTACTTTATATATTTACTTTATATATTTTAATATAAACGTTATATAGTCCTTAAATTATATATTTTGAAACTTTATATATTTACATGTTCAATATTAAGTTTAATAATATCAACTTTGTTATAAGCCTATAATATAAACCGTGTTTAATATAAACTTTATATAATTACTTACTTTATATTTGAACTTTATACATTTACATGTTCTGCAGAATTTAATCTTCAATAAACTTTAACGCCCCATACTGCCAGTATCTTTCTCCCCCTGGTCAGAAACGCTGAAACTGGCGAAGATATACTCCCCACAGTAGTCTCTAGTTCTAATTACTTTTAAGCATGTTAGTTCTTGGTGGTAGTAAAGAGCAGTACCACCACCTCTCTGAATTGGTCGACAGTTGTGAATTGCTGAGTAGTTTGGCATGTTAAAGAGTTGAGTAGTATCCTCTTTTAACCACGTTTCAGTAAGTATAATAAAAGAGAATTTGTTGTCAATAGTTTCAATCAAGGCACTAACATCATCGAAGTGTTTGCTTAGTGATCTTACATTCAAGTTAATTACAGAGATATTGTGATTGTGTTAATACATTGTTTACATCATGAGCTGTAAAATATCTGCAATTTTGATCACTAAAGTGATGATTGTCATAGATAGTGGATAAGAGGTTTAGTTCTGGGTCTATACTTGTTTGCATAAGAAGGCTGGTTGTAGGAAAACAAGGCAAGAATGGCAATTACAAAACAAAATTTTGATATAAAAGGGGGGAAATAAACATATAAACAAGACTATACAAGACAAACACAAAATTAAAAAAAAAAGAAAAACGAGGTAGATTGCTTACAAGTACTCTCAGGTACACTGTAAGTAATAATTTGCATTTTGAGACACAGGCAACTCTGTTAACTATTCTGACACTGAAAAGTGTTAACCCTCTGTTCCTTGTATGGGTATCGACTTCCTTCTGGAAGGATTTTTGTTGCCCGGGGTTGGATTTTCTCCAAAACAGAGATAGAAAGATGTTTGAAAGATGAAAGAGAAAAGATGTTTTTCTGAAGATGAGGTCTCCATGCTTGGATACAGTAATCCAAATTTAGGGAACCCCAGAGATTTATTCTCTTAACACTGGTGCCAGCGCTGGTAACACTGGTCGGCGTTTTGGTAACAGCACTTAACCGACCTCGTGTTTATTTGTTTACAAACAGGAGATAAAGAAGGCTTATTTTTCTCTCGTAGGCGACAGAACTGTACCAACTGACGCTCATACGCTATCCTTGCAGGTAGGTCTGCGTGTTGAGTAAATATGTATGCTACTTGCATTTGTAATTATTTTATATTAGTGTTTGTGATGGTTATTATTATGCAGTGACATTATCCTTTTTTTGTGACACTTGAGGATCTATTTTCCAGTTACCTGCTAACCTTATCCCAGCCATATTTATAATTATCTTGATGTTAATTTGAACGAACCACACTCAACAAACTTAACCATAACTAACTCGTCACCAGTAGCGTGACAGAACGTATGGGCGTAGTTGGAAATGGGCGACTTGGGTAGTGAAATTGTTCCATGCAGTGTTGAAGTCCAACCCATCAGATGCATGACACTTTTTCATAAGTTAAAGGAGAACTATCCAAACAGTTATTCCTCTACCTTAGTTAACAAGGTACAGGATAATGTAACTGGAACATTGATTTCCGAGTGGTTGGTTAAAAATTTTTTGTATTATATTCAAAGAGTGCAGAATCTCGTGTGCTTAAAATTAAATTTTGCCTTGAGGGGCGAGTTTATTGGACAGCATCACTCATCTTGAGTGGACATACTGCCATAGCAGCATGTACAACACTCCCCAAAAGGAAGAAAACCCTCTGGGTTGTTCATCCTGTCACTTGTACCCAGACACAGCTGGTACTTGCTTAACTGTCTCAAGTGAACAGCACCTCAAACCAGTCCGTCTAATTACCGCAAGCTACCACAAGCTACACAAGCTTCACAAAGCTTCCTGGCAATACATTAGTAATGAATAAACAATATATTTACTCATTATAATGTTGGTGCTGAATGTACAACACGAAAAAAACACAATTTTAATCTGAAAAGTATCTTTTTATAAAGAAATTAGACGAAAATAAAGAGCTGGTGACACCAAATCAAGTTGACGATCCAAGCGTCGGTTAGGTTAGGTTAGGTTTGGTTTGGTTAAGTTAGGTTAGGTCAGGTCAGCCTAACCTAACATATCATATTTATTAATTACTAACGTATTGCCAAGAAGCTTTGTGAAGCTTGTGTAGCTTGTGGTAATTAGATGGACCCCCTCAAACAAGAAGATTAACATTTGTCAACCCTTAAAAGCTTACGTTATCTTACAGGTGCAAAATAGGGAAATCTTTTAAGAACAGTATCAATATTTGACAAATAGTGTTTTCCTAACTCAAACAATGTGGGGTTTATTATTCTACACATATTTCTAATGTCTCAGGTGTTCACATTCACGTAGATAGTGGTCAAGGCGGTGTCCGTCACTCTCATCACAGATTCTGCAACTTCGCTGATTAACTATTGTTTCCATTCCGTATCTCCATGGGTATTTGTATCCCAGACGGATTCTCGCTATTACTGATTCTCTCCCACGTCCTCCTCCTATTCGTCCATAATGATTGGGATTGCCAGCTGCAACCATGTTGTACCATCGTACAGATTCACTGGTTTCTGCTTCTATCCTCCTTTCCTCAATTACCTTGTCACAGTGATGTTGCCTGACAATACCTCTAATTTGTAGTAGAGTCTTGGGTATGAAGTATTCAATATGGTCTCCTTCAGCACCTTCAGCAGCCAGCACATCTGCTCATTCATTCTCACATATTCCAACATGGAAGGGGATCCACAGAAACTTGATGACTCTTCCCTGATTGGTGCTTTATTACGAATGTTTAAAAAAGTGAGAAAGGGTTTATTGTTCACTTGCTTTTGTCGTTCTTAGAAAGTGGTATACTTTCTTTCAAATGCTCTGTATTTTCATGGTTTAAACACCATCATTATTTTAGCATGAAAGAATTTTTTTTTTTTTTTATGGAATGCGGTAAAGTTGCCATTTTTTGGTGTTCCAAATACTGAAGTCAAATTTATCATTAACATTTTTGCAGACAACAGTATTTGTAATGAGAGAGATGTATAAATATAATAGAGCAGAAAAATCAAGTCTGTAGGTACAATAGTAACTGAGATGTTAGCATTTACTCATTCAAATGTAGCATTGAAAGTCCCAACAAAAAATTATGCTAGTGTTCCAGTAACACAATCCACTTTAAAAATTTAATGAAGATATATTTTTGTCATTTATTCCCTTTCTGCATTAGGTTTGTGGTCATGGAATTTTTATATAAATATTTTGACTAATGTATAAATATGCTACAGTATATGACAATAAGCCACTGCATAAACATTAACCCTAAAGTCCCTGATCTCCAGACATCGATGTTTAAAAAACCCTGCATTTCCTGCACCAATTTTTAAAATGATAGTAAAAAAAGATCACCAGAGCATGTGCATATCTTGCAAGTATATATGTTACAATATCCACAACTTAAATTTAAAGAAATAGACTAATATTTTTTACATCCTGGTACACGTTTCTTATGCAACTCATAATTTAAAATCATATTTTGAGTGTCAAAAATCATGCATTCCTCCAATAGCACTTCAGTGAGGAAACTGGCTTTATACTAAAAAAACCCAGATTAATAATGGAACAAAGAAAAATTCGTTTGTGGCCTCAGGTGAGGCCACAAACTCAGGGCTTGGGGAAAAATAAACTTGGGCTAGATTGGTGTCTAAGCACCAGACAGGTCCAGGGAGGATAGTAAATATTCAAAACGTTAGGAACAGCCAACAACATCCAGTTAGATGTCCTGAAACCCAGATCCTGAATATTCATTAATTGGTATCCTGTCTTTACCTTCAGTGAGGTGGCAGGATAAACGCCATGTGACAGTGGTGACATGCTCCCTATGGGTGTTATCTCCGTTTCTCATTCCAAAGAAAAGTACTTTAGTCAAATATTTTTTTTTTAGGCCTTCCTTGGCTAAATAATGTTTAGTACTGTACTTGTATATCCTGTCCAACATTTCTGGTGACTACCATGTCCCAGGTTAGCCAAGTAATATAAAGGTAGTTCTGTGTTATATTCCTGGATATGCAGGATGCTTATTGGCATGTGTAGATCTACCTGTAGTTCAGGGATTAGTTGGGTTTTTGAGTGGAGTATGTTTTTACTACTGAGGTCAACTTGTCACCCAGATTGAGTCAGATGGCGAGTTCAATTCAAACCCCACGAGTTGTCTGTGGGGTTTGAATTCTGTCCTACCTCAGTGACTGGTTGATTTGTATCTCAAATCACATAATGTTTGATAGTTGAAGATTTAATCAGAGAAATTGGGATTTGAGTTGCTTTTCCTTCTCGGTAAATTTATAGGGGTGACAGGCAGTGCTGGCCAGCCTTGTGCTTGGTTGGGGTTGATCTGGAATACTACAGCTCCATCCCTCTTTCTTCTTTATTTTACTCTGTTTTCTCTGGGTGCCTCACTATTGATGGTGCTGGGTCAGGTGTGGCTGATGGCACCATACTGTCATCTGTGCTATCATGTGCTGAATTGGGCTGTCCACAGATGCATCCTACCTAGGCTAGCCCCTGAACTGCTCACCTGTTTCATGTGACATCTCCATGGTGTAGGGGATTAATGAATTATTAACATTGACTTAATTTTTTTTATAAATGTAAAATATCAAAATATTGGCAAATTTGATTATTTTTAGCTCAAATCAGAGTGGGAAAACTTTAAAAACCATTAAAATATTACAAAATTTGGTAATTTTTCAAGCCCCGTCAAATGAGATACAGTATCTCTGTGAGAGCATGGTACAAGGGTTAGGGATTTGTCTCTAGTTGTCACTACACTGGTTAGGGGTTGTGATGCTTTTGGATACGACATGCTTCTATTATAGGTACTAAGTTTGTGGCCGTTTGGATGGTGCACCAGCATATTCCTCTCCAGTGGTGATTAGCCATCCATCTTCATCTGGACTGCCTACCTGTGTACTATTGCTTGAACTAAGGGTGTGCCATATGTCCCCTTCCACTCTGGAGGACAACTCTACAGATAGCCTTGCTCCTGGATTCTTAAGGTTTAGTCCTCAGAGGGGTCCCCTATGTGCTTGGATGATTTTTCTCACTTGTACACAATTTTGATGGGGTGCTAGGTGGACAAAGCCTCCTTTCGTTGGATGTGGGATACACTAAGGTGGCCTTAAGTGATGCTTTTGCTTCTGCATTGAATTGCCAGCTTCCTTTGTATGTGGCTCCAGATTTCTACATGGTAATAGATTGTCTTTTGTCCTGTGTATTAAATTGGCTTGGACTTTTTTTATCTTGAACTGAATCATGAGTCTCTTGGGTCAGGGTCATCCTGGTCTTTGACTTGTATCCTTAAGTTTTTTCATTGCCAAGGTTTTGATTGTCTTCTTCTCTGGAAGATGTTGTGTTCTTATTTGCGCTCATTCCATACAGCAGGGTTGATGAGCATCATGCTCTTTGTAGGCATCACAATTTGCATCACAATTATCGTTACTTTAGTCAGGGTATCATTCTTATGTTGCAGATGCCTCTTCCTTCTTGGTGAAAAAACGAGATTGCTTCATTTCGTCAGGGTTAACTGATCATTGAGACAGTTTGTGTGGTCAGTAATCCACCTCGCACTGTAAATAATATGTTGACAACAAAAAAGCAGGATCTCAGGTTTCTGAAGATCAAACTCTGCCTTGGCAGTCTGTAATCTGACCATCTAACATCCTCCAGAGAAGCTGCATTGTGTTGGAACGAGACATTTGTCTCTGACCTTTTTCTCTCTTGTTGCCCAGGTCTTGCTATCAGAGTATCCACCACCAGTAAGTTCCACCTTTTTCTCATGTGTTATTTCTCTTGCCTGGTGCCTCATTATTGGTAATGATGTCGTGTACCTTGGAATTTTCACCACCATAATGAGGAAACTCTAGAGCTACTGAGGAAGCAACATGAGAAATAGAACTTTTGAGTGTAATAGAGATAAAACTTCATGGGCATCTCAATAGCTCGCGATTCCTGCTCTCTACCTTCTTTCCCGATTCAGTTGTATTTTGCTTAGGATCAAGAATGAGGGGAAGGGGTGTTGCCCTGCTGGACTGCCGAGTGGCTTGCACTGCCACTCTGCCACTCTCCTGATAGCCAGGAGGAACTTTGCAAGTGGGTGGTATACGTAGTCCAGATATTTGTTTGGTAAATTGATGTTTCTAAATACTTTATCATAGTTTAAAATGTTTTATGACACCTTTTTGACTTTTAAGGTGGTTTAAAATGGTAGTGGGTTGAACTAGGCTGAAACATCACATAAAAGGGGCAAGATTCCAGTGCTAACTCCCAAGAATCACACCTGTGATCAGAGATGGTCACAGGTGTCTGGAGTTGGAATGAACCCTAGAGTGTTAATGCGGTAAGCTCTGGGGAGCTACTAAGGTATTGCCCAGAAAGTGGCATTTCATTATGCTCGATGTTCTATTCTTTCATAGCCAATTACTGTAATTTGTAATGTTTTAACCCTCTTGTCAAAATGTGATATCAACTTTTAATTACAACTTATTATTAAAATTTTCGACACAGGAATGTAAGTGTCTCATACTACAAATTTAACATGGTAGAACTGAGCGGTATTGACAAAAGGGAAGAAATGGCAGGAGGACGACGCAACACTTCCCGTGCTCCCCCTCCTAAGCCTGTGGCACTCCTGGACCATGACTTGAAGAGGTTAGTGCTGTTCTTGGTGGGTCTTTGATGAGAAGGTTGTCTCATCAAAGACCCACCAACATGACAGAGAAACATGCTCTGGAAGGTCCTCCAGAGCATGTTTCATGGTTAAATCATTTTAATTCAGCTGAAGTATATCATTAGTAATTTATAGTCTTTTTCCTTTTTTATGTAAAAATACAATAAATGCTGCAAATTCAGTTAAAATATGTGCTCATACAAATCCTAATTTTATTTTTGAATGTGTTTGATAAATGATTCATAAACAAATATTAAAAGTTGTTCTTGATGCAGGCTAGGGCATGCAGAAGATGGGCCTCCACTGATGCCTATAACACCACCAAAGCACATGACTATTCCGGACATTCCCCGTATCTCAGAATTGGGATTTGAGACACTAATGTTGGTGTTTAGCCTTATGTCCCTCGCGCTGCAGTACCTGAATATCTACCGCACTGTCTTTTGGCTGCCCCATTCTCACACTAAATATGCTATGGTATGTAGATCTACAAATATTTTTCCCTGAGCTTGAGCTATGGAGTTGTGAAGTCTTGGAGAATTACACCTAGGCACCTGAGACCTACCTGAGGCAACTGGAAGCCAGTACCAGAATCTGGGTCTTTCTGTGAGGTGACTGGAGCATGAGGATCAGAGATCAACCCAAAATAAAGACAAACAAAACAAAGTATATATGCACCAAAATGAACAACTGTTTGAAATTGAATCAGTTACTCGGAGGAAACTTGAGGCAAACGGTCAATACTGCAGGGTAAACATCCGAGCCTTTATGGGTCTGACTGCCATCAGGTGGCAACCAAGGTCACCTGGGGGCCCCCAACAGTCGATCACCTTATACACGAATTGACTGAACATATACCTTCTCCCCCCTAACTTTAATGAAAAAGAAGGGAACAGGGCAGGAAGAGAGCTATTGAGTGGCCCACCAAACTATGTAATTTCATTATTCCATGCCATTCCTTTCAACACTATTTCTGGGCTGGTATCTGTTGGCAGTTAGGCACATTATGGCTCAAGTGTGTATCCTACAGCAATGATTGTTTTCTTTGTTTTCCTCAGGGGGTACCATTTTCCTTTCAAGCAGTTGCTTGCTTTTATGTGCTTATAATTTCTGTGGATTTTTTCTAGGTTTTTGGTTTATTTGTGATTCCTAAGCTCCCCTTTCTTCATGGTGAGAGATGACACCAGGTCTGGTCCTGGCTTATGGTAGACTCGGGTAGGTCCTAGAAGCCTAGTATGGATGCCCCAAGGCTTGGCAGCATCAGTGTTATAGCTACGTGGAAGTATTGAGCAGCCCAACAGAGAAGTACGTTTTATTACATTTGTCTCCCGAGTTTTTCTTGGAGCCCAGTGGAATGTATAATTCACTAGCATCATTACCAGTAATTTAGAGATAAACTTGTACTTTGTTTTTCAAGTGGATGTAGACAAGAAACATTTAAATTTATTTTTAATTACATAAGGGTTATTACTGTGCCTTATTTTGTATTTTATTGCATTATACTGTATTTCCAATACAATATATCTTTTACACAGAACCTGTACCTGATTGATGGAAGTGTAGTGTGGTTTATTGTGGTGACACTGACCCGAAGGTGGGGTTGGAGCATCCTCAAGTTAGTTATTACGAGATGCCTTCATCAATCTTTGTGGAAATCGGCTCTTTCTCTTGCTCGGTAAGTGAAATTCAACACCTTTTGTTTTTGAGGAGAGGGCGAGGAATATATTGTGCAGGAGCAAAGCTATATTTTAAATTCCTATCCTCATCAGGGGGATACTGAATTGAGAAGATTGTGTATGAATAAATATGCGTACAGTATTTGGACTCTCTTTTCCTATCTGGTTCGAATTCTTATTTGAGGCTTGTTTCTTTCATCAGAATGGTGTTTGTGTTTATTATCTCGACACTTCTTGGCTTTTGTTTGTACACCATCTGTGATGCACTCACTTACATCAAGATTTTGGCTCTTGGATACCCGTGAGTAATTAACTCTTCATTTACAAATCTTCGTATTTAATTGGTTTTTATATATTGTGCTGTATAATAAATTTTATGCATCATTTGATTGTTGTCTGTGTGTGTGTGTGTGTCTTGTATCTGATAAGCTGCCTTTTCTGAGGTAATTGAATATTTACAGGTCTGTTTCTGTATTGTATGTCTATTAATAAAGCTATATGCAGATAATAAGTCTGTTAATCCTTTCAGGCTTGTGTTTTATGTCTTCATATTTGATATGGAGATCACATCATTCCTAGAAGTTATTCCAGTTCCTATGCATTACAAGGAGGAAGGAATTAAATCCAGGCAAGGTACATATACTGTATGCTTTATTTGTTCTCATAGTATGTATATCAAATAAAAATTTGAAGATGTGGCAATCTTCCTAGCATATCCTACATTCTTAACATGCTAGCTATTAAACGATTTTTCATAAAAACCATGTCCGTAACTCGGTGGTCATTTCACAACTGATTGGTCACAGGTTTGGTTCCCAAGCAGGGAGAGACATTAGGCACGTTTTCTTATACCTGATGCCTTGGTTTACCTAGCAATAAATAGGTATCTGGGGGGTAAGGCAACTGTTTTAGGTTACCATCTGGAAAAGGTCAGTCACTGGCCTAGAGGGGACCTTGATAAGCCTAACATGCTTCCTGTCCCCCCAACAGTGAAAATCTGTGTCTTTACAACCTTTAGATACTTTCTCTCTCATTGCATGAATTGCCTTTTGTTTCTTTGAATAGTTTCTTACCTGCCTTATGTCTGCCATCAGTTAATTAGTATTTGTGTGTGTATTGTTTGTTTACTTAGATGTTGTTACATGGTTTAATTGCTTTGGTGCATCGTTTTCGGCATCCTCGTGCTCATTTATCATGCTACTCAGCATGATACAATCGTTCCACAAGGACATGAAGGGAACAGTCGTGTACGACGGCCTAACTTCTGAACCATTCATCAAGCCAAGCTAAAAAGCCAAGGGCATCTATCTCCGTACAAGATCTGATGGAGAGCTCTATAATCTATCCAGACTCCAAGCAAAGACGAAAGTACAGATGTGAATCCCTCGGGGAGTTCCTCTTTGCCGACGATGCAGCGATCACCACACATACAGCAGAAGGCCTGCAACAGCTACTCAATTGCTTTGCCGCAGCCTGTTTTGCATTCGGCCTGACAATCAGCCTGAAGAAGACATAGGTGATGGCACAAGACCTCAATGAGCTACCCTGTATAAACATCGCAGACTATGTGCTAGAGGCAGTTCACGAGTTTGTGTACCTGGGCTCCACAACCTCAGATACCCTTTCCCTGGACACTGAGCTCAACAGATGTATCGGGAAGGCCACAACAACACTGGTCAAGCTCACAAAGCGTGTTTGGGAAAATGCCAAACTGACAGTGCACACAAAGGCACAAGTCTACATGGCATGTGTGGTAAGTACACTTCTCTACAGCTCGGAATCCTGGACCCTGCGCTCTCGCCAGGAGAGACGATTCAATACCTTTCATATGCGGAACCTGAGACGCATCCTTGACATCACGTGGAAAGACCACGTCATCAACAACACAGTACTCGAGAGAACAGAAGTCCCTTCAATGTTCACTTTCCTGAAGCAGAGATACATGCGATGGCTGAGACGTGTCACGCGCATGGAAGATGGCCACATATCGAAGGACTTCTTGTATGGAGAACTGGCATCAGAAAGGAGACCCACCGGAAGACCTCAGCTGCATTTCAAAGACGCCTGCAAACGCGACCTCAAGCAGATGAACATCGACATCAACACTTGGGAGGCAGCAGCTGTGGACAGATCTGCCTGGAGATGTAAAGTGCAGAAGGAACTCCAGCAATTGGCGTTTATCTGCGCTTGCTGCAGTAAGGACCGTCATTCTCGGGTTGGCCTTCACAGTCACAGTAGGCGTTGCATCCAACTAGACTACAACAACTAGACATCCAGGGCACAACTCCATAACCCCCACGGGATTGACGGATGCCAACTACATTACACTGGTGTCTCCTATTCATGTATAAAGGTTTGCATTACCACTAATTTGTGTAACCCTCTAGCTGCATATGGTTGCATGGTGCTGTGACTAAGGACAGGTGTAAGGTGGATATTTTGGGGGATACATAGGGGCCTGACAGCTGAGTGGACAGTGCCTGGGATTCGTAGTCCTAAGGTTCCGGGTTTGATCCCTGGTGGAGGCAGAAACAAATGGGCAGAGTTTCTTTTAGCCTGAGGCCCCTTTTCACCTAGCAGTAAATAGGTACCTGCTATGATATTCTCTGTATCCAGGCCCTTTTTCCATATTACACTGAGTGCTAGTGCTACTGGTACTTTACATTTCTTTATGAATGTTTAAGGTCCTCATTTGTACCGTACCGGAGTACCTTGAATTTATCACTGTTAAACATTGTGTTATTTTCTGCTGCCCAGTCCAAAACTGTGTTAATATCTGCTTGTAGTTTTTCAATGTCTTCAAAAGAGGTAATTTTCATGCTGATTTTTGGTGTCATCTGCAAAGGATGATTTGAAGCTGTGACTTGTATTTGAGTCACATTTCCATGAGTCAGAACCAGGGGCTCATGAATTCCATGAGTCAGAACCAGGGGCTGAGTGCATGGGCATGTTGTCAATTTCTCTTTCAAAGTCTTCAGAGTTCGTTTTAATATCTATTATATTATCTGCAGCTTGGATGTCATTCATAAAGAAGCTGTCTGGATCTTCAACCTTCATGTTTATTGGTGTGCTAAACATAGCCTCGTACTGGCTTCTTAGAATTTCACTAATTTCCTTGTTGCCCTCTGTATAGTAACTTTGGTTGTAGGTCCAATACTGGTGGAGGTTTTTGATTTTGCATATGTGAACAAATATTTTGGATTTTTTTTTTATCTCTTGTATACTTTTCTGTTCCAATTCCATTTTCTCAGACTTATGATCGCTTCTATGTTTGCTCTATTTCTTCGATCTTCCTGTTTAGGTTTATTTTCCTTTCTTGTGATAATCATGTCTGTTTAAACATTTCCATTATTTTTTCCCTTCTGTACATTCGTCTGCATTATCTTTCTAGAGTGCTTGTCTTTCTGACCCTCCTTGCAGGCACATGCTTCAAGCAGATCTTGTATGCTTCGGCTGTCAGTTGAGCTATTCCCTGTGTGAGAGTTTTGTCACGTAAGACAGTCTCCCATTGAATGTTTGCAAGGTCTATATTTATTTTTTCCCAGTTGATCCTCATATTGTTGAAATTGGATTGATTGAATGCCCCTTCTCGCTTGTTGGTTCTCTTGGACCTATTACCATTATTAATGTTAGTTTGCACTTCAATGAGTTTATTGTCTGATTATGTTAGTATCTGAGATTGTAATGTGTCTGATTAGTTCATCATTGTTTGTGAATAAGAGGTCTAATGTGCTTTTGTTCCTGGTTGCTTCTGTAATCTGTTGATTGAGCAAGAATTTGTCACAGAAACTCAAACGTTCTCTTACCTGTGGTTGGTTATTTCCAAGTTGATTCCCTGCTATGATATTTTTGTTTGCCATTCTCCATCTTAGACTTGGTAGATTGAAGTCTCCAAGGAAGATGAGTTTGAAGATGAAGGAACTGAGTTTGCTAGGTTATCAAGGATGTTCTCTATTTTGTGCATCTGCTTTGTGAATTCCACAACCGGTGTACCTGGCAGTTTATATATTAGAATAATAATTAGGTTTATTTTTCTACCTTAATTCCAAGTACCTCTACCATCTCATTAATTGAGTTTAGTAGCTCTGTGCATACCAGATCCTCTTTTTAATGTATTGACATACTCCTCCCTTTGACCTAGTTTCTCTATCACATCTATATAAATAATAGTTTGGAATCCAGATTTCACTCTCCATGTAATCTTTTGTATGAGTTTCCGTGAATGCCTCAAATATTGAGTTTGACTCTTACTAGGAGGCCATTTATGAACTTTATATCTTGATTTTGACCTTAGGCCTTGTATGTTTGCAAATATGAATGATTTTCCATATTGAGTGTCACTATTGGAGGGTTGTGGTAGTTCTTCCCCCTCTCCACCTTGATCCAGGGTGTGCTGTTCTGGCAATGATTTGTCCAGTTTCAGTAATGGTACTGGGGAGTGTTGTAGTTTGTGTAGTTGGGGGTGTAGTATGTGTGTGCTTGATGATGAATTGTAGGCCAGTCTTGGGCATGTTACCCTCTCCATCCATACTCCTGCAACATTTCTGTGTGCCTGTTCCTCTGTTTCTGCCTGCCTCTAAAAAACTTCCAGGGTTATTGTATTGGCTGTCCTCTCTTCTATAGCGCTGTATACCTCTCGCGTGGAAATCAGGGCACTGAAGATTATAGCATTTCCTCTCATTAAGTGAGAGTTTGCATAGCTTAGGGTGGAAATATCTGCACTCTGTTCCAAAAAGGGCATCTGCCACTCCCAACATGTTTTAGCATTTTTGGGGATGCATGAATGTGTATTCTATGCCTCTGGTTCCATATCTGCACTTTCCTTTTGCATAATATCTGCAAATATTTTCATCTGTTTTTATTCTGGCTGTTCATACCCGTGCGTGCCTTGGACACACGGGTATCGAAACCAGAACCAGAACCTCGCCCCCCCTCAAAGTGGCACAGGGAGCAAGTGACTATCTGCCACTCCACCAGGAAAAGAATCTAGAAAGTCGGTGAAGCTGACAACTCCATATAATACAGTTGTCAGCTTCATTATTGTATTATTACAGTTGTAATAATACAACTGTAAGACTCACAGAAAATGAAGCCTTACAACTGACAAACAACTCTGACAACGATTCAAAACAAAACAATATTGAATCAAAATCAGCTTAAACCCATTAGTCACCTTTAGGCAGCCCGGCCCAGTTTTTGGCTTCTGTTGTGCTTTGAGCGGCATGTGCTCAGGGTTTCCTTCCATGAGTGCTTGTTGGCACTGCCCTTGAAGTGACAAAGTTACTTCTCTGGTGGTTTCAGGAGTTTGATCCCCCCTCCCCCCCCTGAGAGGCCTGTTTACCAGGATAGAGAGCTTGCTTTTGGCTGATCATGAGTCTTTTGACTCTTCTGGTTGGGCCCTTAGTTGGGGGCATTCTAGTTGTGCTTGGGGTGTACTGGCATTCATATGTATGTTTATACAGCATGTTATGGTTGCTTTTCATATCTTATGATTTTTTACTGCATTTATTGCCTGTTCTTTCAGCAAGCAGACCCAGTGCCTGAATTTCCTGTTTGGCTAATTTCCTGCAAGCCCTGGCAGTACCCTCTGTCCTCTGGTGTGGTCATTATGGATTGGTCCATCAAATCAGCACTCACTCTGTGCGGGCTTGAAGGGTGCTAGCTATTCTTGCTATTGGATGATGATCATTCTCTCTCCCCCTCCACCATGCTGCCTGCTACATTAGTGACAACTATAAACCAAACTCCTGTGATGTTTGCTCTCATTGGGTCTCTTCCTTGAATGATTCTTCAAATTTCAAAACTTGTCAGGTGCCTGCTGTTTTACAGATGAAGTTTTGATTGTGTTGGACGTTTGCAGCATTTGGATGCCCCATAATTGGCCCCTATGGTGTTTAGGGACCTGGAATTGGAGGTGTTGCTGACCTCCACATGGATTAAGTTCATACCACCTCTTCCTTTCCCTGCAGGTGTGGTTCACCCTGCTTCTGATCTTCTCTTCTCTTCTCTTCTCCCTTCCCTCCCCCGTTACTTCTTACTCCGAAGTGTAGTAGGGTTTCAGATTCGGGTTAAGGTTTAGTTTGGGGTGTAGCTGGGGTGGGGAAAGTAAGCTAAATATCACTCTGTTTCCATAATAAATAGGTTCTCCTTCATATGATTCTATGAATTTTACTTTCAACCTTGGAGAATGGGAAATATTAGGATGTGGATAAAAATTCCTTTAATAAGAGTCTGATGACATTTTTAATACATTATTAGGAGAAAGAGTTGGTGTCTTTAAAATAAAAGCCATTGGTTCTTTTTCTTTATTTTATGTGAAAAATGTAGAAAATTGGGGAATAATTAAAAATGGACAAATTTCCTGAAATCCAGACCACATAAATCAGAATTGATCCAGAATGATATGATCCAATATTTGGTGAGATGCACATGTATTGACAGTTTTGTGCATCTAGAAGAATGATGTTTACATTAACAAGCTTACATAACTGGAAAACAAAAGAAGGCATGATATGAGAAAAGCAAAGTCGATGAAACAGACTAAGAATGGGGAAATGGCAATCATTGAAAAGATATGTTAGATAAGGATATGAAGCAAACTACCGATATGATAAATATTTGTAGATGGGGCTCTTGTATATTCCTACTGGTCCAACAGCCAAGGGGCAAAAAAAAAAAAGATACATCTGAAATATTAACAATGTATTTTCAGTAATAAATAGAGCGTTCATTAATTCTTTTCAGCTGTGCCGCGTCTTATTCAACATGCTTGCTTGAACAGTGCAGAAGCAGTGCGTGGAGAAGTAGAATTTTTAACTAATGATTGCAACAAGCGCATGGCTCAAGTCATGTACCAGACTTTCGTTATCGTTTACTACACAACTCTCATTCCATGTTTCTTTGTCCCTGTGAGTATATGTTCATTGAATGTATTTTTCAAAGGAGGTTACAGCATTTGATGAATTTTGGTTCTCTTTGCAAGATGACTTGCCTTTCATTATCACATTCATAGACCTGGTGGGATATATAAATGGTGAAGTGAATTTTCCTCATCACCATTGTTATCATTATCATGAGGCTTTCTGTCCTCACCATTGAATACAGTAATAGTATCAGTTGTCATCAGCCTTCATCTTTACCTTGTTCAGTATCTCTTTCATGGTACATTCCAGGTAGTGCTATGAACATATTGCATAGTTCAATTGATTTGTAGTCGCTTCTAACCTAACCAAGAAGTAAACTGCCAGTTGAAGAGATGGTGGTTCTATTAATTATGATTGTTTAGGGTTTGGCTTGTTGTGTTTTTCATAATTGCCTATAATATATTTGATGTTGCAGAGTCCGTTGTATTATGACGTGCCTTGGGTCTCATTTCATATTCTGTTTGTAACGAGTACATGTTTTATATGGCACCTTCTCTACTGTTACCCAGCAAGGTAAGCAGATCGTTTTTAACTTTCAAGTAAATTACAGAGTTCTGGGTTTTAACTGAACCCAGGTAGTGTTAATGGAGGGGGGGGGGGATCATGCTCTGATTACTATTCTCAAGGGGTAACTACAAGAATGATTTACAAGAGATACAACAGAAATTGGAATATATTGGCTGAGAGGGTTAAAAGTACTCTAGTATCATTTAAGACCAATTTTGTGTGCTGTATATTGTCATAATACAATATTCCTCTCATAGTACATATGCTACTTAAGATCCTAGTTCATTTGTGTCAATGACAAATATGTATTCATCAGCTTGTCTAAAAGTAAGTTGGTCCAAGGTGGAATTTGAGATGTATGGACTGTTAAAATATAGCAGTCTGCCTTTTGTTCAAATGAAAAATATATGAACAAGAACACAAAGAAAACTACACAATCTAACCTATCCTGGCCCTAATATACTACTGTACGTATTATAATAATATGTTAGGCCTAAGATAGATTTTATTAAATCCAGAATAGATTAGATTGTGTTGTCTTTTTCTTTTTATCCAAACATTTACACATTTTAATTACTTTACCAATAGGACTGAAGGTGGGCAGTTTTATTACAGTATTGGCTCATACTGTTCTTTGTAAAGACACTGACTTCATGGGCTGTTTCATTTCAACTTGACATAAAATATTACAGATATTGTGATATCCTTCACCGAGCATCAATGCATCTTGGAGGATGGGCTAGAGTTGAAGGGCGGTCAGCGCATGCTCCATATAATCCTTGGTCCAATTCTGTATTATGGCCACAAGGAGCATTAGTGAAACACAACCGAGAACTTTATCGAGCAGAAGGCATCACTAACGCTGCAGAACCTGGTAACACTACACATGCCAGGTTACATGTACGTGTCAGTTTGTTTGCACATGACATTTAGCAGGGGATGCTTTAAGATTTTACTTTGTTTTAATACTTTAAGACTGTAACTTAGGAACACCTCTCTGGATTGACTTTAACCTTTAGATTTTTATGCATGTTTTAAAATTAATTTTTTTGTTAAAATCAAATATAATATTGAGTCTCCCTTGATAGTAAATTTTTAAAGAAAATATTATTTCGTTGTACAAAATATTACTACAATAAATTGTATTGGTTTATAAATAAGTGATTTTCTCTAAAGTTAAACAAATTTTGATAAGGTATCCATTATCTTCAGATTTCCAAATTTTTTTTTTACAATAACTTGTTTGTTTAAAACCATACAGTATATTGATAGCAGAGGAAACACTCAGTAGTGTGATTGCTCTGTGACCATGGTTAAACAGTATTACACACATCACCTGTCGGGCACTACCTTGAACAAATTGCATGTTACATACATGAGCAATTTAAGGGCTCAAGGTGTTTATGTTCATGTACAGTATAATCCAGTGTCGGCAGGTGATGTGGCATTGGATTATAGTCCTGAGGACTTCAGGTGACTCCAGCACCAGGTGACCTGACATTAAACTGTACAGTAAATTAATATTTCAATGTGGTTTAACCATTGGACTACACACACACACCGGAATATCATGAAGCCAACCAGCATATCACGTTTGTAGGTATATTTTAAGATTTAAAACACCCATGGGTACAAGGGGCTCGCATCTTGTTCCTCAGTAATGCCCGAGCAATGAAGGCTGGCGCATACTGGTGAAGCTCGCAGCACCGCTGTACGGGTTGGGGGGGGAGGGGCGCAGCATGGCTGTGTAGGTTGAGGGGGGCCACAGCACAACTGTGCGGTTTGAGGGGGGGTCCACAGCATGGCTGTGCGGGTTGGGGGGAGGGCCCACAGCACAGCTGTGCGGGTTGGGGGGGGGGGCGCCACAGCACAGCTGTGAGGGTTGGAGGGGGGGCCACAGCATGGCTGTGCGGGTTGGGGGGGGCCACAGCATGGCTGTGCAGGTTGGGGGGGGGCTGCAGCAGCACTTGATAATGATGAATAAAATAAGTAACCAATTATTTTGCAATGATAGTGTCATAGATGATCCTGACTGTGATAAGGACTACTGTACCTGTATGTACAATGTTCAGATATCGGTGAAAACAATGCTATTTATAATGTTCAGTGTGTTTGGCAAGTGAGACAGTATTCAGACACTATTTCATGCCTTTATGCATCATGAAATGACCTCGTGCTCCTTTACAATATAACCTTGTGAAAAGGGCTTTATATTCATGCTTTAGTGACAGAATTGTGATAATAGCAGTTCTGTGGCTAGTCTTGGTGATGTGCCATAGTATATTGTGTAAGCGTTTTCTAGGTTTGGGTGATGTCTGCTGGGGCATCATCTTCTCGTATTGTCACTCCATGCTGTATTTTTATTTGATCGCCACACCCAGTAAAACTTTATTGGTTTATGGTGCATAAAATTTGTTAGATATACATGTGTGTACTATATATACGTACAGTGGTACCTCAGTTTACAAACCCCTATTTACGAACTTTTCGGGTTACGAGCCCCGATTTCTTCGGATAATTTGAATCGGGTTATGAACTTTACCTTGGGATACGAGTTTGTTGATACGCGTATGGCTGACCTAGCGTGTGGTGGCACGGTGATCGCGCCTCAGTTTACCAGTGCCTCCCGCCTAGTGACTATGCTGCCTGAATTCTTTGCAAGGATTTACAGTTTCTTTTCAGATTTTTGACTATTTGAACATAAGTTATTATATATCGCACCATGGGTCCCAAGAAAGCCAGTTGTAAGGTGCGAGGCAAGAAAACACAATGTGAGAATGACCATAGAGGAAAAACAAAAGATCATTCGTAAACATGAAAATGGTACACGTGTTGTTGAACTAGCTAGGCAGTATAACAAATCTTCAGGGGGAAAAGGAGGAGGAGGAGGCAGTAGAGGATGTCCCTTCCTCATTAATTAAGAAAATGTGTGCAGTATGGGAAGAACTGCAAAGTTTTGCTGAAAAGAATCGCCAAGATAAAGCTTTAGCAAGCCGTTGCATTGATCTTATTAATGACAATGTGATGTCTCACTACGAACAAGTGTTACAAAGAAGGGAAAAAACAATCTTCAAGAAAATGAGAAAATCGTGCAGTGAGCCCGAAGCAGGTCCTAGTGGTATGCAGGCAAAACGTGCCAGAATATGTACCCCAGAGAAGTCATCACTGCCTGATGTTATAATGGAAAGGGACTCTCCTTCCAAATAGTAACACCTCACCTCCTTCCCCCTCCTCACTGTCTTTCATATGCCAACAGGAGTCATCAGTAAAGGTAAGTAATAACTTATACATACTTTTGTAGTGAAGATTTGGGTGAATTAGGTTCAGTATAAAATCTACTTTAATTTACTTTTAAAAATTTTTTTGGGAGTCTGGAATGGATTAATTCATTTCCCATTATTTCTTATGGGGAAATTCGCTTCGGTTTATGAATTTTCGAGTTATGAACCATCTCCAGGAACGGATTAAATTCATAAACCGAGGTGCCCCTGTACTGTAGTATAATAACGGCAAAAAACTGTTTTATTGTTCGAAGATTCTAATATTTTAACTCTCTTTAGTATGTGACACGAAAACTGTATATCTGAGAGTGCCAATATTCTACACGTTCTGCAATACAAATACTGTACTGTAATACAATTGACAGATCAGTGCATCATTACACTTGGGGAAATGCCAATAAAAACATTTACAGTACAAAGTAAATGAGATGTGTTCAGTGTGTGCTGCTACAACTTTATGTAAACAATATGGGACTAAGCTGAATTCTACCAAGTTATAAGGTTATTAACCCTTAGCATTTAACGCCTATAAATGCTAAGCTTCCTTGCTCCATCATGGCCAACATATATCAGATATAATTATTTTTAGTTTCCTTGTGATCATGGTATGCATTTTAACTATTAGAAAGAAAAATGGGGTGGTGAGGAATAATTTATTTTATACACACTGGGGGACTTTTTCATATTAAACTGTTGTGCAGTACAGTGATTAAACAGCTTAATTTGCATTTTCTAGGAATTTAAAAGAATAAAGGTTACAAGATTCAAAGTATAAAAATGGATGAAAAGGTATACTAATAGGCACTATACATTAATACCAAATAGAACAAAGGATACAAATTGAATAAGTAACATTACACGAGATTGAGTGGGGGGTAGAAATAGCCTAAGCTACTCTATCCCTTTGAGATGCATTTCTTTCTTGTCTCAATAAACATACTTGATCTTGTACAGGAGATTGAGGGATTGTTTCATTCAAACGTTAGACATAAATGAGCGTTTGATTTGATATAAATAGGAGCTGCCTTGCCTAGGCCAATAGGCCTTCTGCACATTTCCAGTACTATATTCTTATAAGCTTGTCATGAATTTGAGTCGAGTTGTGTATGAGAGTTGGGGGTTTATCAGACTTGGTGTGTCCATTTGCTGTAAATAAAAATTAGGGTAAGGATTAATAAGCAGTTAAAATATCACAGGAACAAATAATAATGTTTTATTTTGATAAAAAAAATGGGTGTCTATACTATGATTATGTAACAAAGTCTTGCAAATTTATCTTCATTTGTAACCACTGAGACTATTGATGTGTACACAACCTCTCTTCTGCATACTGTACTTTGATTCTGTATTCAGACGCTGAGTCACAATAATGTGGCTGAAGATAGGATGATTAAACCACACACCAGAGGATGAGGAGACAACGACATTTTGGTTCATCCTGGACCATTATCAAGTGGATTGCGATTGTCACAATAGATTTGATGATGGTCCAGAATGGACCAAAATGTCGTTGCCTCCTCATCTTCTGGTGTGTGGTTTAGTCATAATTTGTTGCTGTACTGATTAGCCATTAGGAGGATTCAAACCTGCACCATGGGTACTCTGAAGCACATGCACATAATTTCATAAGAAATTGATTTTCTCATTGATATATCACACTAATGCAATTTCTTTGTGTATTGTATTTTTAATAGAGGATTATTGAGTAGTGTCCCTTTTGCAGGCAATCTTCTGTGACCCCTCTCGGCCAGTTTTAGTATTGGTCTGGGTGTGTGTGTGTTGCGTTCTCCTACACTTGGTACTGCTGGCCTCTTTACATCAATGGCACCAGTTACTGGCAACGGCTCTCGTCTTGACAGCATCATATGCGGCACTTTACTATCTCCTCAGAGACTATTTAGTACTCAGAAAAGTTTATCAGCAGGAGCAACAGCTCCAAGAAAGAGTCGTTAACTAATATGTACTAATATAATGTAGTTCGAAACCATTTGCAAAAAATATTGATAAATATTTAAATGTTTTGCTTAATTCTTTTTCCCATTTCAGGCATGAAAGTGAGTACTTTACTATAATGCAAGTACTGTACTGTATTAACAAAAAGTGTGTTTACTGTGCAAAGGTTCAGATTTCGGGTAAGTACAGAATGTAATGTCCGTCTTATTAGTTGATATCATTGGTAAAAAGGTTATTGGAACCACTGCCATTTGGGGATTTCCTACAAACTGCTCATCTCTTTAATGATTACCAAGAAACATCATTTATTTAAATTCTGCATAAGGCAAAATCTTAAGTGACGATAAATGAAGTATCGAGGGTTTTAAAACCCTTGATACAACTTGCTACTCAATTCTGAAAAGAGTATAAATAGACACAGTATTGTCTTACCCTCATAGGCAATTATGTGAAAGCTTTGGCTTTCATCTCTAAGTTCTCAGACTTACAGTATTGAACTTTATGCATTGTTTAAAAAAATAAAAAATCTAAACTGGGATCCTTTTGATGCCTCTAAGTAAAAATAAATATTTTTTAAGCCTGTTTTGTTATTAGAATACTGTATAGAATACTGTACTAAGGGATTTATGTGATCATGCAACCTTAAAACTGGCAAATAATTTATTAAATGCAATGAGGGTATTAACAGATGAACATTTTTAGGTAACAGAGAGAAAAATCTAATTTATGTGCACTTCATACATAAGCATATAACTTAATAACAGAACTGAGAAACAATTGACCTCTCTGGCACAAGTTTTGGTACTGGACTAAAGTTTAATACAAAAAGTGGGACTATTACTTTTAATTCTATTCATTTGAGTTGGAAATTTTTGTATATACAATACTGGTATATCATGTTATGTATACCATATATAAATATATTATCACCTATAAACATATATATTTTTTTAATTGAAATTGTTTGAACTGTGTGTGCACACGGTCACTTTTTCTATAAAAATTCTGATGAGACATTTCATTCTGTACTGAAAGCAGTTTCCCATTTAGGTACTGTACTGTCAGCTTGGCAATGACCATAGCAAACTTCAGCAAGAAATGTTTTTTGACAAAGCTTTCCTGGTTAATGTAAAAGGTAAATGTGTGATGTTGGACAGAATTACAAAAATGGAACAAAGAAAACCATATTTAGTCGATATGCTAAGTATCAAGTCATCAAGTTTATGTAAATAGAATTTATATATGTAAAACTGACATTTAATTTATCATGTAGTTTAAATCATTATTAAAAATGTACAGCAGTTTAAATACTAGAAATTATTTTTATTTTAACTTTACATAGCCAATTATTTTCTTATGTTACTGCCTTATATTAATGCAGGTTTTATTTTCAGGTAGAACATGGCCATACATTGTAGTGGTTAATTTGCTTAGCCTTGCACATCCTATTTTTTGTCAAAAGCAGTTTACAATGCACTGGAAATGGCACAATGCTCAGTTAAGTCATTTGAATGTTTTAAAAGGGTTGATTTGCTTGTGTTTAACACGAGAATCTTGGCTACACATTTATGTGCAGTCCCCTCATTTGATCTTTAGTCAGAATGTAACATTTATTAAATGTTATGGTAGAGGTAATGTGTGTGTAATTAATATATTTATTCTTTACATAGGGAATACATTCATTGGACGATTGTACTGACCTTTGGTTGTGTCATTCTTGCCTTTATTGTAACCGGTCAGTAATTGAAAGTAATTCAGAAAGTATTGATGGGTATAAAGGTAGCCATTAACAAGATATTTGTCTTGGTTTATCCTTCTGTGATGCAAAATACTGTAGTAGTCTTATATATGCATTCTCCCTTTTGTCGTGCATTTAGTTCCCATTGTAAGAGCACGAGCTTTTTATCACTTGTGAATAGAGGGTATGTGTACTGAAACTCTTCCTTACTGTAATGAGCATGTAATCTTTATGAAAATTGCAAGTCCTTGGAGGTACAGCAATGCTCTACACTGGCATATAAATTTAAAACTTCCTGAAGGAAGAAGCTTTAAAGTTATCTTGACATGGTAACTCATCCTTCTCATTGTTAGAATAAAAATACTTAAATAGAATAAGACAATATAAAAATAAAAATACTGTACTATTCAGTGAATCTTTACTTTTTAATTAAAAGTTTAAATTAGTAATGTCCCTTATTCAAATTTATTGTACTGGGCTTGACACAAGTGAATGGTTGTAACTTTAATAGTAAGACTGCTGTGGTAGAATCCAGGATTTGACACCAACTATCGTATAACAATATCTCACAATATAGCCAGGTGAAAGTTTGACAAAGCTTTGCAGTCCCACTTTACTGTGCTTCTTTCAGAGTAGTTCTTTTAGCATTGCAACCTCTGCAATGGATGCAATAATGATTAAGCTATATAGATAAAGTACTGTACACTGGAGTCACTACATTCATCAAAGTTAACATTTCTAAATATCTTAAGAGTACACTACAGACAAGAGGCAAAAAACATATCCCAGCTGGCATCTGGCAATTTGTTAATGTTTCTTGTCTCTTGTGTTTAGTGTACTCTATTTAGTAATGTGTTTAGAAATGTTAACTTTATGAATGTAGTGACTCCAGTATACAGTACTTTATCTATATAGCTTAATCATTGTTGCATCCATTGCGGAGATTGCATTGCTTAAAGAACCACTTTGAAAGAAGCACAGTAAAGTGGGACTGCAAAGTTTTGTCAAACTTTCATCTGGCTATATTGCGAGATATTGTTATACAATAGTTGGTGTCAAATCCTGGATCTCTACCAGAGCAATCTTATTATTAAAGTTACAACCATTCACTTGTATCAAGCCCAGTACAATAAAGTTGAATAAGGGACATTACTAACTTAAACTTTTTAATTAAAAGTCAAGATTCACCGAATAGTACAGTATTTTTATTTTTATATTGTCTTATTCTATTTAAGTATTTTTATTCTAACAATGAGAAGGATGAGTTACCATGTCAAGATAACTTTAAAGCTTCTTCCTTCAGGAAGTTTTAAATTTATATGCCAGTGTAGAGCATTGCTGTACCTCCAAGGACTTGCAATTTTCGTAAAGATTACATGCTCATGACAGTAAGGATGAATTTCAATACTCATACCCCTCTATACAAGAGGGTGGTAAAAATCTTACTCCCTTACACCATTCTCAGTGACTTCCCTCCTCCACTTCATAGCCTCCTTTGATCGCCTCTTTGACCTCACACTTCATTGTATGAGAGGCATCTGCTCAATGGAGAATCTTGAGAAGGGTGGGGGGGGGGTGGCCCACTTCAGATTTGAGAGCTTTTAAAAGCTAAGGCATTATTAAAATCTTAGTTATACAAAGTACAAAAGTTAACTTTTTGTTTTAGAAAGGTTGGAGAATGGAATAGCCAGAACTTTTTATTTGGGTATATTTGTACAGGTGGTGTGATCATGTTATCTAAGTTACTTTTATATTTATCTTTTAATAAGATCATTACAGTATTGATATAAAATTATAGACAAAGATTTTGTTAGATTAAAAAAAAAATCTTAACTACTGTATTCTCATTTATCTTTTTTTTTTTGTAACTAGGTCACTTAATGTACATGCTACCAGTGATATAAATATTTTCTTAGAATATATATATACTGTATATTTTTTTTTCTTTAACATTCAAAGGTATCAAGTTAAAAGATGGGCCAGCAAAAGTGCAAGTGTTTGATAAAATATTCTCCATGCTAGATCTGCTGTGTCATAGCAAAGTAGTTGCAAATTCTTCACAGAAGAAATCATTTCATGTTTTAAGACTGGGTTGCTCCATTTCCTGAATATAGTAATCAGGAAGGTGATTGAGGAAAAAGGATTTTGTTTATGGTTTTGCCAATAAGAATGTTGGTCGACATTTGTAAATTATTTCTGTGCAGTTTAAGTAATGGAAAAATAAATTGTGACGATATGCTCTGCAATTTTTATTTGTCATGAGCAGCAGTACAATGAGGAGGTGCGTGTGTGCAACAAGTTAAAATATTTCAATGTTACATGTCGGCTTGAATATCGAGAAAACTAGTTTTGCTAAATACCAATCAATAATATTTCTGACAGTAGTAAGCTCTGATGTGGAAGTGTTCATTTATTTTGGAATGTTTAAAAAAAAAAAATTCATTCACATGGTCAAATATATTTGGTACCTTGTCATCCACTTCAGGATAACATTGCCAGTTTATGAAATCTTAAAATTATAATGGCACAAATGCTGTTTTCAGACTACAGTACTATGTATTATGTAGTTCTTACAATTAAGGAATGTTATAAATGATTTTTAGTAAGTTAGTGAACCAAAACTGAAACTGGGGGTTTAACTGTTTAAAACTTTAAACTGGGTTAAAAAAAGACTGAATTTTTTCAACCTGCCAACTGAACTCCCAACTATGTAAAGAAACTATCAAATCTCGCAAAACTAACGTCTTTGTTCACCCCATCTCCCCACTTGTTTGGCATGGGGGGATAGCTACACCCTCCAAGGGTGAGAGCTTTTGGTTCTTGTGCTGCTGCAGTCACACCCACAAGCTTGTTGTGGAGTTCCCAAGTTGCCTCTTATGAAGGTTCTACTGTTTTTCAGCTAAGAGCTCTTGGGACTTTTGCCATTTGTAGCATTTCTGCGTACTCTATATAGCATAAGCTTGGAGCTATGTGTGCCTAGGGTTGCCTTCCCTGGATGCTCTAGCTCTTCCCTAGCACTATTATTGTCTCTGGTGTATTTTGCGTTGCTCCTTTAGTGGTGGTCCTTGCTCGAGGTGGCCCTCATCTAGGGTGAGCCAGGGGTCGTGTGGCTCCACTGTGATGGCCTTGGTCGGGAGCAATGTTGGCTGGTGTGGTGTACTAGTGGCTCACATGCTTAACATCTATAGCACCCCAAGGTTGGCCATAATGGCCATGTAGCCCAGACTGTGTTGCTTACTTTTAGGTTCAGTGTAGCATCTCCAGTGCCTGGGTGTCCCAGTTTTTACACTTCTCTAGAAATCCACTACATGTATGGTGTGGCCAATGACTATTCCCTCTAAACCTGCTTTCGTCTTTGTGCAAATTTGATGTTTGTTCGTCATCCATGCAATGGTGGGGGGGGGGTAATCATGCATTCTACCTCCATGCCTCCGTTTGAGTTTGTGACACCTACGACCCTGTTCTTGTGGGGTCTACTCTTTCCTGCGACTTATCTGGACCCTCTAGATGAAATTCATGCTTATCCTTATCAGGCAGTGACTGCTTTGCTGGTTCATATTGCCCTCCTTTAGCAGTCTAGGTTTCATAACCAGTTGGATGCTGTGGAGCTACCCTGACTTGTATTTAGGGACCCAGATTTGGAGGGGCTGGTGATCTTCAACATGGCTCTGTCCACATCTCTTCCTTCCTCTTTGGGCATGATTTGCCCTCCCTCTGATCTTCCTTGCTTCTAGGCCCAAAAAATACAAGGGTTTCCAGGTCTGGGTAAGATTTAACAATAAATGTAGCTTGGCCTCGATCCAGGAGTTTACCCTTCCAAATCTGGTATAGAGGCAGTCGAGCCAGCTGGTCCTGCCGAGATTTTGGGGTTTTCCTTTTAGCCCGCCACTTCAGTTCCAGAGAAGTATCTACTCTGGATTACACTTTTCTATCAAAGGTGGTAGGTGGGTACTGGCTCTGCCCTGGAGTTTTCACCTTTAGCTTCTGGGGCTTTGGGAGTCTTGTGGGCCCTTGGGTTCATTTGGACTGCAAATTAGAAGGGACTCTGTCCCTTCTAATAAAGGCCTCTTGATTTAGGGCGAGTTCTTGTACCCTCCTGCCGGTATAAACTTAATTTGAGTGTTGCTTTTCCCATGGTTTTGTTTCCATGTGCTGTTAAGCCTGTTGGGACTGTCCTTACAGGGATCTCCATCCTCCAGCAGTGGCTTGGGAGAATATCTTCAAGTACCAACTGCAGAACCCAGAGTTTACCTATATCTGGGCAAATCTTTATCTATATCTTCATGTCCCTGCTTGTTTTGAGTTTGGGTCTTCTAATTGGATGTGCTACGAGTTTCTAGTGTCTTCCTGGCTAGTGGTCAATCCTTTGTTCTCTTTAGGGACTGTGTGGTTTTTGCTGTTCCTGCACACTCGATTGGCATGAGGTGGTGACCATGTTTCAGTTGTTTTTTGGGTGGCCTTTCTTTTCAGCCTCTCAAAAACTGTGTGTTTGTTCCAGCTCTTTCCCAGAATGTGGGCTTGGTGCAGCTCCATGCCCTTGTCTTTGTTATCGATAGTACTTGTGATGGAGGACCTTCATGCACTTTGCTTTAGTTGTGCAGTTTCTGGCCATCATTGAGCTCAATTCTGATTGGCTCAGGAAGGATGTTGTGACTTGGGGCCTAATGCAGAGGTTTTGGCATCTGCTGTGGCTTCATCAGTGGAGATCCAAGCCGTCTGCTTCCATGCTGCGGGCTGTTCTATGCTGCCTACCTAGTGTGTCAGCAGGCTGTTGGTCCTCCTTGTTGGAATTGGTGTGGGCTCTGGCTCTCTTCTCTACCTCCTTTTTTTGCCTCATCTTTCTGGAGGTGGTGGTTGCTCAGTTCTCGTCTTCTGCAGCTGCTTCCTGTCAGCCTATTTGTGGTCTGAGGTTTCTCGTTCTTGTCCTTGTA